GCAGAACCAACAGAAGACACTGTGTAATTCCTCTTTTTTAATCTTGCTAATAGAGCATGAATCTCTGTCTGTGTGTCTGTCTGTTCTTCCAAAAACCATTCATCAGATCAACTTCAGACTTGGCGGTTTTATTGTTTGGGACCTGAGTGTGTGCAGTGCATTTTTGGAAGCCTGTCTGCCAGTCAGCGATGGCAGCATGTTGCCTCCATTGCTGGGCATTACCATTCGAGGCAAATGAATGCTGCACCAGTGGTTTTATGAAAACGTGTGAGTGGGTTGAGACGTAGCTTCATGCACTGTGGTCGTGGTCTTTGTGTTGTCATTATTGTTTCCCTGCCTTTGCTTCCCTCCGTCCCGTCCATGTGCTGTATGCTTCTGTGATCCCTTGTGTTTCGCTCTCTTCTTGTTTGAGTTTATGTCTTATTTTGCTTCCTGTTTTATTTTGATAGATCCTTTTCTCATGATTCCTGCCTGGATTTTACTTCCTGCTTTTATAAATTCCTACAGATTTTATTTTTCATTTGTGATCCCAGCACGATGAAGCGATCACATGTATAAAACTTCACCATTTGTTTTCAGCTGCAATTGCACATTACTGTGGAAAAATCATTTTATGCTGCCTGGCCAGCATCAAAAGGCAGTTAAACGTAAAGCTAAATCTGGTGGGAAGTCACTAATACCCTATTTCTGCTGTATGCTCAGATCACTTTCATAATATGTCGATGTTGTTGTGCTCTGTTGTGTTTTATTTACACAACGTACATAAAACACATTGTGTGATTTAATACATTTCAGGCTCTTTGTCATGTTTGTTGCCTTTAATTGTCTATTATTGACGTTTTGGAGATGTATGTTGGGATGATCCATTATGTTTTTAGGCCTTAATGTGTCTACACATTCACCAAAGACACTTAAATGACTTAAAGCATGGTTATATCTCCCCTCCACAAAAGCAGCTATTTAACAGCTTTTCTTTCATAATGTAATAGTACGAGATTTTTGACAGCACAACGAATAAATCATTTATTGAACGGCTTGTTTGCTACAGCGTGGGAGGATACAGAGGATGAAACTATTAAATGGATAGTTTGTAAAACACATCTAGCACACTTTGGAAACCTACTGGGAACACCTAACTGTCTCATGGAGTGATGAAAAGCCCCCCGATTGCACGGGGCGAGATTCTCAGAGTGCCATTCCTGCACTCCCAGCAGACATCCTGGTGTTAGGATGACGTAGACGATGTTTGACTGGCACACATTAACCGTGTCTGAGTTTGAGACTGCGATCGCTCCGAGCCAAAAATGACACAACAGTCTCAACCTCCCACCGGGCCTCATTTACTCACTGGTGCTGAGAACAAGCGCCTTTATGTCTCTTGTGGTCTACGTGATATCTGACAGCAAACAATAGCACCCTTCAAACCCAAACCAACGTGACAAGCATTGCAGATATTTTAAGCATTTTATCATGAGTTGAGCCATCGTATGACGCCAACATTTTGAAAACCTCCGTAGAATGATCTTTGAGAACTTTTTGAGAACTTTTGCTGGTAGATTCTGTCAGTGACAAAGTGTTTGGCATATTATGACCTCAGTGGTGTAGAGTAAGGCACTGCTGCAGTATTGCTGAGTCGTAATTCTGTATTGTCCTTTAAGCTGATTGAGTCTTATGATTTAGTAGAGTAGCTTATGATTGACTGTTTCTTGCAAATAGAAGGTTTGAATAGCAGGTGGGTGGGGCTTATGTGTTTGTAGCCATAACCTTAAAGTACAGCATTTGCGTCCATTCCCAGAGGTATATGCTTACAGGGAGCCCACTTGTGAGATTTTCAACCACTCGACACGTGATCTGTGCAGTTGTGCAAAATCCCAGCTGCACAGGGACTTATGTGGATGATGTTGGGCATCATTTGAATGCTGATTGGTTGATTAGTTGACCAGGAAGTGAATTCACCTGGAAAGGGAGAAGCGCAAAAAAGATTTTTTTTTTTTTAAATAAAATAACAGCAATGAAAGTAGCAACAGTGGCTGTAGTGGACACTTTTCAGTGCCTTTAACTGTCTTTGTATGTTAGAACTTTTTCCATAGATGCTTGGTGGCCCAACAGCAAAAGCAGGAGTAGCCTATGGAGACCGGTTGTACCACAAATTTTAGATACTTCCCCCATCTGACAATAGATTCTCTCTGCAGTGGACGGCAGTCCAAGCTGCCAGTGGACTGCCCACCATAATGGAACGATGAGTAGACAGGTGGATCTCTTCAGAGCAGTTTGAGGTCTGAACTCACGGAGATTACTTTCACATTCACTTGCTTAGTACGAGCATCCACCAGGAAAAGCATGACAGGCTTACTTTAACTGCTTTCATCTTAACTCTGATAAGATTCTGCACTTCCAATAGCTGATTAGCTTTTTCCTGCTGCACAACCACTCATTCATTTAGCCATATTACTCATGTACAGCGTGGCCATTGAATAAAGATTTTTTTTACTATCTGATGACAACTGCCAGAGCTCCCTCCACCCCCCCAACAACCTCTGTTAACGATCTGTTATTAGTGGACATAAGTGCCTCTGATAGAACTGGAAAATGTATTTATCAAAGTTCTTTTTGTTTGATAAAGATAAATATGAGTAAAGTTGCATTAGAATTTAACAATTTAATTTTAAAACCATTTCACAATATTGATCTTATACTAGTGAGTCTTCAGATTAAAATATAAATTATGTTATGACTTGTTCAACTTTAATTATATGCCCATTTTTAGCAACAAAAGAATGGCCAGCAAAGTTTTTACCAAGTGGAAGATAAAGATAAAAATTTCTTTGGTATCTGGAACGTGATCGTCCAAAAAGAAATTATCTACTGAAACTATTTCGTTCCTCAGACGTGTAAAGTCTTAAACTGCTCGCGGTGTTTGATTCTGTTTTTAAGGGAGGTCTAATTAATGAGGAGCTCTGTCTCACATCCTGTTTGGATGGCTTCCACAGGCAAATCTGAGCCTGGAGTTTAAGAGCTTAAACAGTCGCTACTTTGTACAAAGAGTGGGCAACATTTCCCTCCAGAGGGCCTGACTGACACCGATGAAGGAAGACAAGGGTCACATGTTTAATAAAAAAAATCAAAACTTATGCTGCAATGAAAACATTGCCAGCATAAAGGAAATACGTAAATGGTACATAATCATGTACCATTACATTGTGACCACATGCCGTGCAGCCAGAAAGCACAGTCCTCATGCATTGATTAATCCAATTACAATCAGATTTCTAACTTTGAATTTAACTAGTTGTTGCATGTATTGTGGCACATTATTATCTTTTTCATTAATTAAACATTATATATGTAATATGTAAACATAACCTTTGATGATAATCTTTAAAGGAGACAAAGTACAACTAGTTAAACACTGGTGGTGTTTCACATTTGGAAGGCCTACCAGCCTGTAACAGTGTACAAAGTCTTTTTGCTCCAAACAAGTGAATTGTGACATGATCTGGCATCTGAGTCTCTTTCTTGAGTTTTCATTGGACAAGAGTTGACTACGCTGCCCTCCAGTGTGGCTGTCTGACTGTACACAAACTGAAAAGCCTCTGTGGGGTATTAGCCGAGGCCTAGAATAGATCCCTGAGGGAGCCTGCAGGTTACACTGGGTGCTGGGAGCTCGAGGGCGTACAGTACAGCATGTACAGCGAGAGTGATGTGGTATGAATTTGTTTCTGAGCTGCTTGTTTAAAGTAGTCAAGGATAGCTGTGAGATCTGAAGATCTCAAAGAGACTAAAATAGCTGTGGTCCAGACATGGAGGGAGCGTGTTGGTAGAGGGGCATCATCGCTGTAGTAGAAGAGCTGTTGTGTAAAGCTGATTCACCCATCCCACAGCTCTGCTGCTTGTGGGAGGAAGCATAATGAGGGCATCTTCTGTTTGCAAGGGGGTGAAAGAGAATTGGGAGGGTGAAGGCATCTCAGAAAATAAAACAGACAATTCGCAAGCCAGGGATTTTCTGAAATCTAACTCACCACAGTTCACTACAGAACCTACACCCAGAACCTGACGAGTTAAAAATGTTTCCTGTACGGCAAACAAATGAAAAAGCCTCACACAGTCACAGTAACGACTGTGCAGCTCTTTGAAATGAATATCTATTCTGATTATACACACACACACACACACACACACACACACACACACACTGAATTATTCATTGGAATCCATGCTGCATTATAATATACTGTCAAATCACATACACAAAACAAGCTTATTATTTGTCAGTCCTCCAAAACCCAGGTATCTCTTTGCACTTTGTATACAAAGTAAAAAAAGATGCAGTTCTTTCATCTGTTGCGATCAGATCAGCAGTTTATAACGTGACACCACAAAGACCATCCTAAGCAATAATTAGTTCAGCGTAGAGAGAGAAAATACCACCGAGCGTGGTCAACTTTTTGTTTATTTCCTGTTTTATTTATTCAGGAGAACATAAGTCAGCAGAACAAAGCAAAGCGAGCTAGTAAAGAGCTCCATTAAAGGGCTGAAAAAGCTTTTGTGTTTGATGGATTAACTCGTGGAGCTAGCTGCAAATGAATGCTCACTAAATTATGGATGCCTTTGTATGTATAGCTGGTAATATGCAATGCTATCTAAAAAAAAAAGTGGTCAGTACTAAGCTGAAACACGGTGTTGACACGGCTTGTAGTAATGGAAATCTATAGTTTGAGGGCTTGTGTCAGTCTTGTGCAGAGAGAACAGCTGAGAAGGGTTTCTTTTTAAGGGAGGTCCTGAAATACGATCACCCAGAGCAGACTGACAGTCCTATAAATATCGTTTTTGTGACCAAAAAATCGGTCCAGACCTGCGGGCTGCACAAATCAAGCGCTAAACTTGAAATCCTTTTTAGAAATCCTGGCTACAGTTTGGATGGTGTTTGCCTCCTGTTATGTATGCTATCCACTTCTCTGACTTAGCATAGCTACATGACCGTGCTCTTTTACATTTCACAGGACTACACGCTGACTATGTACTTCCAGCAGTATTGGAGAGATAAGAGGCTGGCTTATGCAGGGATCCCTCTCAACCTGACACTAGACAACAGAGTAGCAGACCAGCTCTGGGTCCCAGACACCTATTTTCTCAATGACAAGAAGTCCTTTGTGCATGGTGTCACAGTAAAGAACCGGATGATTCGACTTCACCCGGATGGCACTGTTCTCTAAGGCCTCAGGTAAGAACTGCTGTTTAGCTTGACCTTTCAGGGTAGGCTTGTATTCTTTATTCATCAGTTTATACGAGCTTCAGTTTTCTTCCCGTCTTGAAAAACATGTCTCTGTAAGGCCAACATTTAAAGTGGGGCTCCTCAATTGAGGAGAGGCTGGATTTTCAAGTGCAGTAATTCCACCAGATTCTGGGTGTTTTTAACCAAATATTATTTGCAACGGGCCTTTATTTCAGCCACTGTTGAAAAAGGAAAACTGTTGTTTTAACCACAGGAATTTATATTAGCCGGTCAAGTTCTGTTCTCAGCTCTTTGGAGAGTAGCAGTATGACTCCAGCACAGAGCAGAGCTGCATCAGTGACAGCAGATATGACGTTAAGTCACAAACAGCATGAAAAGAAGCAGCTGGGGTGGGTTGTGCAGTGGCTTGCACATGCACCGTATAAGAGATTGGGGATTTGTAGGATTTCAGTGGCTGAACCACTGAGATCAGCTCATATGCTGGGATCAATTTCTTCATGCTGATTCTGTCATGTTTCTAATAATATAAGAATTTGTCAGTTATTTCACATAAGTAACATATTGGCTGTGGACAAAGACTTAGAGGTCATTTTTCTTGTTAATATTAATACATGATAGGCTTCCTCTCATAATATACATAATACTCTCTGCAATTAATTACCAATCCATCTCCGGTGCTTATTGGCTGCATCTGGCTTTTACACCATCGCATAGCTCTCCAAACTGCCCAAGATTCATGAAGTGGCAAAAAGCTTTATTTGTTTTGTTGAAGCAATTTAAGCTGCATTTCAACACAATTTAATGCTAATGCAGGAAGTCGCATCTCATAACTGCTGTCATACGTTTGTGTGGACTAACTCAGAATTGGATTCTCAGTGTAAATGTGCAAGTCTGAAGAGTCTGGAAATGAGAGTGGAAGTAATTGGCAGGAAGTTTGTTTTTCTTCCTTTAATCAATTAATAATAAAAAATGGATGCCATTTGCATCTTCCTCAGATGGAACGCATTTCTCCTAACCATCCTCTGCTCTAACAGCTGTCCTGAATCTAAAACGAGGTCACCTCTCTTTTGTTCCTGTTTTGACTCAGAATCACGACGACGGCGGCCTGCATGATGGATCTGAGGCGATACCCGCTGGACGAGCAGAATTGCACTCTGGAAATTGAGAGTTGTAAGTTTAAGCCCTGCATCTTGTGCTTTGTAAAGAAATACAGCAGACAGCCCGACTTTTTTCATCACTTAAAAATATGAACAGCGCCGTAATTCTCATAAAAAATGTTCAGTCATCGGGTGGAGACAAAAACTGCACAGGCTGCTGAATTGCTCTGGATTTATTAATCTGTCATATCCCAGTGAGATTGCTCGCTGCACCCTCTCCAGTTAAACGACTTCGTCTGCACGGAGAGGTTCTGAGCTGAGCAGACAGTGATTTCCATAGTGGAGCACCGTAATGATTAGTCCAGCTTCATCAGTCTAGATGACGTGTTCGGCTGTCCGTGCTGCCATAAAACTGTTGCCGGTCATGGATCTCATGCATTTGGTATCAGCCTGTCTGTCTGCACTGACACACATCCCCATGAAGATTCACATCTCATGCAATCAGCACTTACAGGATCTGTGTGATTCATGAGACTTACTCTAAATCAGTTACAGCTACCGGGCGTCCTGATTTCTCTTAAGGATATAAAAATACTTCCAGTGAAATGAGACAGATTCACTTTTCAGAGCTTTTCCGCTGTTAAGGACACATCATGTGACTTCTTTTCTTGCAGATGGTTACACAACAGATGATATAGAGTTTTACTGGAAAGGAGGAGAAACTGCTGTGACCGGGGTAAAACGCATTGAGCTCCCTCAGTTCTCCATAGTGGACTACAAACTGGTTTCCAGGAATGTAGTCTTCTCCACAGGCAAGTTATGGCACTCACATTTTTAATGTTTCTTCTTGAATCCATGAAAGAACATTTTAGAGGGTGCATGCTCGCGTTCAGATCTGTTGTCCCTGATTATAGTGTTAAATAACCTCAGTGAAAATAGCTTATAACTGAGATAAAAACACCTTGCCTTGTATTAAGAGTTTGGCACAACGTGTGCTCAGCAAACAATGTAAAAGCAGCACGTCTCACACACCTCCATCAAGATGCATTCAGATGCATTCTTGCACTTCATCCAATAATCAGTGATCCCAGATTAAAACAGAAGAATAAGACTTTAAAACATGTGCAGCGTCACAGATGAATCTGTCACCTGAACTGCAGAGATGTAAGACTCTGCCGAGGTTGTGTTCTGTTACCTGTCGTCAATCTTGAGACGTCCCAGTATATTAATTCATGACTGGCTGTTTTTACGGTACATTCTATAAAACTGCTGCCTTAAAACTAGATGGAGCTGCACGCTGCTGCAGAAGGACTGCTTGCTTCCTCCCATAGGTGGAAGTGGGCGTTTGCAGGTTCTGGACGCCTCATGTACTAAAAGTTCTGCTGCCTACTAAACACATACCTGTTTAAAATAATCCTCCGGTTTGTAACTCAGGCTGAAGACACACAGAGTGCAGGTTGAGAATTTGGAACTAAACTAAGTCTGACATGAGAATGTCTGCAATCTCCCATGATGCATTTGATTGCACTTAGACAAGAACCTGGACTGTCTATTTAGTTCAAACATGCCTGTAAAGGTACAGTGGGTGAAGGGTCTTAGTGCTACTAATGGGCCTAAAAAAGTAGAAAATAACCTGCTTTTTGTGGTGTTGACTCACTTTTCTTTTTATGTATCTGAGCCGAGTCAGGATGATAAACTGTCCTTCATGCAATGACCAGATCTGTTAAACTTTATATTCCCATTGCTTGAAATTAAGAGATGCACTGAGCTTCCTTAAGTGCAATATTTGCATCATACCTCCATTTTGTTCTTGATGCTGTTGATAAAGAATGGGGGCTGTTGCATACAGCAAAATAATGCATTCATGAGGCAGAGTGCTGGCAGCATGAATTATTCTCCTATAATACAACAACAACTCAGAGGCATCAAAACAGTGATTATCCTCACTGCTGAATTAATGACATGTAGGATGGCTACTGTCCGAGCATTTCTATACAGATAATCTAGAGAAACCTATTAGAGCTCATTAGGATCACTGTCACATTCGGATACAATAAACTCTAATAAATGGAGTGTCTGCAGATGCTTTTAACTTCTTCTCAACATCCTCTCATTGTGTGTGTGTGCCTGTGTGTGCCTGTGTGTGTGCGCGCGCGCGCGCGCGCGCGTGTGTGTGTTTTAAATTCTCATTATCTGTACATATACACATATACACTAATTTTTTATCTCTGTCTAGGTTTTGAGATATTTAAAAATTAATATACATATAACCTTTTAAGAATGTGCACACATATTAGCACATAACTTTTACCCCTCAGCCGTAAAAGGCTGATGGGGTATTGTTGTGGGGGACATGGACCAATAGGTTTGTGAATGCAATAACTTGAGAACGTGGCAATGTAGGATTTTCAAATAGGTGCATGTACTAAAAATCTTGGATAAGTCTGAATCTCAGTGATGACCTCAAGGTCAGAGGTTATGTTTTCTGAAAATCTTGTGATCGGGATCACTTGAGAACAAGGCGATGTAGAATTTTGAAATCGATACCAGAGGTGTGTCTGTCTTGATGCATGCTCAGTTATCCAGATAAATTCCCCAACTCCCTGTGAATGGTACTCACGGCCATTAATCAGTTGTCATTGATCAATGGTCTTAAATCAGTGCTTGTTGATTGATCGTCATGACAATTTACATATTAATGATCTAGAAACCGACTTCACAGCCCGTTGTTCGTCAGTGGTGCTAGTTCAGTCATTATGCAAATATACTGTTTATAAGGTGTGGGAAACCTGCAGTCAGCTGAGACCGAAGAAGTCACTTGGATGAGTGACGAAATGTTTCTCCTGCTGAAAATGCAACGTCCAGATGAACAGAATCAACTTTTTGGCATAAGTCTGTCTACTAGGAGCCTTTACATTTACAAAGTTTTGTGCACATTCTCAGATACTTATTTTGTTATAAAACTAAACAGAATCAATCGTGGCGAGAAAAGTATCCTGGTATCAAAATGAAGGGAAAAAAAAGGAGACTTTATTTTAAGCAGCCATGGTGATATGCGCCTTGAGAGTTTACCCAGAATGCACTTTTTGTCGCTTACTCCATGAATTACTGGAAATGTATCAAACATCCAAGGTCACCAATACTTGTCTCGGTCCCTCTACATCGAGGACACCAAACTTTTGTAGTTTCTTTAAACTATGACAGATCCCAAAATATCGATGCTCACAGTTGGTTATAGAACAAAATCATACTGAACAGCAGCAAAAGATTTTGTCTTCATGTTGTGACACGTGGAGTGCATGTAGAATTGCAGTTTTTAACAGCTTAAATGTGTTTAAGCTGTTAAAATGTGGATATGTCCGAGTACTTATGAAGTTTGGAGGGCTCGAAAATGCTGGGAGAAATAACAAATTAAAAAGCTCCAAACTTCAACCCACCCCAGCCCCCTGAAGCGTCTGTAACTCTGAAAATATTTATGGTGTGAAGGTAACATTTTGTGTGGCTTCGTTAAATATACTGACGCTACTGTACAATAAATGAGCAGACTGCGAGGAGGTCTACTCGAAACCTCTTAGATGTGACTGATTTCATATTCTTATTTCACATTTTTGCATATTTTTCACACTGAAATGTTTCAGATTATCAAAAAAAAGAATATTAGTCAAAAATAAGCAGACAGAAAACGTAGTTAATGAATGGCAGCTATTAGGTTTAAGGGCCACTTAGTTTTTACTTGGTCCAGGTAGGTTTAGATAGCTTTTGTTCCCTTAATCTTAGACAAAGATTAAGGGAACAAACTAAGAAACTGAGTACTTTATATTTAAATATACATTCATAGGGACTTGTAAATAATGACAACTACTTTTACTCATGAACAGTTTTCATCAATTCTGATATTATATGAAATTCTTAATGGAAACATGCAAACTATTCTCTAATAAGTCCTTTTTCACTCATGCACTGCAACCCTGAGATTTTCATGATACTACCTGGTTGAGCTGTATGTGAAAACCTAAATGTCTAAGTTGGAGCAGATATTAAATGTCTTTAATTTGCCAGATCCCAAGTATAAAGTCTAAGGGTTGGTATATTTTTTCCTGCTTGTAACGTTCCTGAGCAAGTGGGCTTCACGTGTCCTGTCTCCGGCACCCTTTTCCCCAAAGTTTTGTTTGTTTGCATCATGCGAGAATGTGGACAGTGTCTCGTTTCTGCCTGCAGTTCACGTGTAAATACAGTTGATGAGCTCATCACCACAGAAACCAAATCAAAGGGGAAGGCATCCCCATGTTTCTCCTGAATTATAGAGGCCTGATTTTTACCTGGTGTGTTGTCCTGCAGGTGCCTACCCTCGACTGTCTCTGAGCTTCAAGCTGAAGCGAAACATCGGATACTTCATCCTGCAGACGTACATGCCCTCCATCCTCATCACCATCTTGTCCTGGGTGTCGTTCTGGATAAATTATGACGCCTCAGCTGCCAGAGTTGCATTAGGTATGATTTTTCCAATGCAGTGAGTTGACCTCTGGACTGTAGTTTAATCTACACGCACTCTGTTTTCTAAGACTTGTGAACAGTGACCGGCTCTGTGCCAAAGCCGGAAACCAGAAAGTAACACTAAACTGTGACATTATCAAAGTGGCGATTCTGTAATTAGAGGATGGATTTGTGACTGGTTACTTACAGTTATTTTACATCAACATTATGCATTCAGTATCCATCCGTCTGACTTATAAATGTGTCAAATGTAGGACCAGATGAATCTTGACCGTGAAAATATTGAAAGAATTGGCTTGTGTGGGAATGAAAAATTGGTTTGTTTAAAGAATATTTATGTAAAAGAAAGCATTCACAAAGATTCTGTAGTAGCACTAACAAAGAAGAATAGTCCTGGTGAGACATTATGCATTCAAAACTAAACTGGTGAGTTCCTCCCACGTGTCACATTTGAACAGATAAACAACAGATTCAAGAAGAACAAATAATCACAGCTGTGCGTTTCCTTCAGTCTGTTTGAAGCCTCTGCATTGTGGTGTAATAGGAGACTCAACTGGATCTCAAGACTCACACTTTCCACTGGCTTCTAGGGCTGAAACCGTTCACCGTTGTATAACACCATACCTCCCTAACTGCATTGATCGCTGCTAGAATATTTCCCTTAATGGAAATCCTCAATCAGCTTTGGTGCACTCTCAGTCAAGTCCGCGTAAGGAAGAGCACATTAACGTACCAATAATAAAATCTCACTTGAGCATACGCTGTGATTAGATGAATGTAGTACATCTTAGGAAGTCTGGTGGGAAGCTGGATTTGGAAGCCCCTGTGCTGGCTCAGACCTCGTCATTTAACGCACGAGTCGGCTCACTCCGCCGTAACGCCTCCTCGTTGAGAAGACTGCTGTCTGGGACGCTGTCAGATCAATGCAAGTTAGAAAGCATCCCTACTCCTGTGCTTTACAAAATCAATCAGCGGTGATTCATTACAGGTCTCCATTCTCTTTGGTGGGTGGTGTGAATATCCTGAGCAAAACCAAATTAGCTGGGCTACTTAACAGGCTTCATACATGAGGAGCGGAAAAACATGTCTGAAGCGTATGGACTTTTATGAATCATTCAGAAAGGTGTAGTAAAATATATATACTTTTAATGCAAAAAAAATATGCACATCCCAGAAGGATATACACTTTTTTTTTTAAATTTTCTCAAACAGTCCAGATCATTTGAAAAATGGTTTAAAAAAAAATCATATTTTGCATGGTTGGATCTTAACAAGGTTCCAAGTAGAGCTTCAAAATGCAACAAGAAGAAATGGGAGTGAAACAAAAAAAAATTTGAGCATGCAATTTATTGAAAACAACGCTTAAACTGAAACAGGCTGTTTTACAGCTGATTAAATGTTTAGGACCACACCTCCAAAAAAAAACCCCGTAAACCCCCCAAAACAGAAATCAAAGTTCCAAACAGGATCTCAGTAATGAGTAGCTCCACCGTTACTGTTGACCACTTCAAAAATCTGTTGCGGCATGCTTGATGTGAGCGTTTCCACAAAGTGAGTGGAAACATTTCTGGAAGTGGTGAAGACGGCCGCACGAAGGACATCTACTGTCTGGAACTCCATTGTCCATTTTTGTAAACTTCTCCATCCCTAAAGGTTCTTAATGGGATTTAGATCTGAGGGCGTTGTGTACTGTTGAAAAGCCCAGGCGTTACCACACAGACAATGACCCTCACTCATTAGGGATGCTCTCTTCAACATCTGGACATAGCCAGTGGCCATTTGACGCCCCTGCACCTCCTGAAGCTCCACTGAAAGAAAAAGCACACCAGACCATTATGGCGCCCCCTCCACTGTGGCACGTAAAAACATCTCAGGTGGGATCTCCCTTTCATACCAGTTACGTTGGAAACCATCAGGACCATCAAGGTTACGTTTTTTCTCATCAGACAATAAAACTTTCTTCCACCTTTCGATGTCCCATGTTTGATGCTCTCTTGCAAAGTCCAAATGGTCAGTTCTGTGGCGTTTAAGGAGATGAGGCCTTTGAAGACGTATTTTGTTTTTGAAGCCCTTCAGTCTCAGATGCCGTTTGATGGTTATGGGGCTGCAGTCGGCACCAGTAATGGCCTTAATTTGGGTTGAGGATTGTCCAGTACTTAACGGACAGCCAATTAGATCCTCTGGCTCAGTGCTGATGAAATTTAGACTTTTTGTTCCATCACCCTCAGGATCATTTAAGCAATTCCAAATGACTGTCTTACTGTGTCCTACCTCAGCAGCGATGCCGCACTGCCAGAGACCCTACTTATGCAGTTCAACAACCCGACCATGTTCAAAAAAGGAAACATTTTCTTGCCTTTGTGAACAGAACATCATGACTGTGTTACTACATGTCAGAAAATGACAATGAATCCACATTTTTGCACAGATTTGGCTTTTTAAAGGCATGTGGTGCTAAACTTTTGATCAACTGTAAAACAGCAT